CAGGAGGGTGCAGGGGGTAAGGGAAACGGCAGGTGTGAGGAAGATTGAGGGGATTGAGCAGAAGGGCAGGCACAGGGAGGGCACAGTGGGGAGCGATGGGAGGGGTGGGCAGAGAGGCAGGACAGGTGGTAGAGGGAGGTGTTAGGAGAGGGGATCGAGGAGGGGCAGGAGCCAGGTGGTCAGAGTGGGGCTAGAGGAGGGGTGGGCACAGGGGGATGGGGGAAGGGGCTGGTGCCAGGGGTCAGAGAGGGTGGGCAGAGGGACGGGTACCAGGCGGGGCTGAGGGGGGTGAGAAGGGCAGGAGCCAAGACAGCAGAGGAGGGAGAGGGGTCGGGGGGGGGGCATGAAGGGGCAGAGAGGGTGAGGGCAGTGGCAGGCACCAGAGGGGGAAAGGGGAGAGGTTTGTACCACAAGGTAGCAGGGGGGTGAAGTTGTCACAACCCAATGGCCCCCTCCCTCGGGTCCCCTGGGGAGGCAGATCAGCATTGTATATTGCTAACACTGTTGCAGGCATTGCAAGGTATTTCAGGAAGGGTTAAAGGCAGTGGTGAGCTGGCACCGGTTCACAAGAACCGGTTGCTAAATTTAGAAGCCCGTGTAGAACTGGTTCCTAAAGGGGCGGGCGGGCAGGCAAACTCCGGTCCTTGGGCCACATCTGGCCCGCCTGAACTCCCAGCTGGGGAGGCCAAGGCTCCCCTGGCCCCTCCCCCACTTCTCCCCCCCCCTCGCAGACCTGCCGGAGCCCTGGGAAAGCAGCAGGGCTCCAACAGCTATTTAAAGGACCGGGACGGCAGAGGCAGCTGGAGCCCTGGCCCTTTAAATAGCCCCTGGAGCGCCCCGCTACCCCAGGGCTCTGAGGGCTATTTAAAGGGCCCAGGGCTCCCCTGCTTCTACCACCCTGGCCTTTAAATAGCCTCTGGAGCCCTGGGGAAGCAGCGGGGCTCCAGCAGCTATTTAAAGGGCAGTAGAAGCAGCGGGAGCCCCAGACTTTTTAAATAGCCCCCAGAGCCCCACAGCCCTACCCCAGGGCTCCAGCAGTGGGGCTCTGGTGGCAATTTAAAGGGCCTGGGGCTCCAGCCCCCTGGGGAAGCCGGGCCACCCTGGTACAGCGCACTGGCTCTTGCTGGTACGCCGTACGGGGGCATACCAGCTTACTTTCACCTCTGGGTAAGCGGGTGGGGCTGCAAGCTCCAGCGGCTGCACGGCATCCTTACACAGCAGTATGGTAAGGGGGTCAGCCGGGGCTGGGAGGAAGGGTTGGATAAAGGGTAGGGAGCAGTTGGAGGGGGTGAAGAATGGGGGGGGTTGGGTAGGCGTGGGAGTCCCAGGGGTCTGTCGGAGTGGTGGTGGATAGGGTTGAGGCAGTCAGGGGACAGGGAGTGGGGGGTCTTGGGAGGGGGTGGTCAGGGGACGGGGGGGTTGATGGGTTGTGGGTTCTGAGGGGGGCAGTTGGGGGCAGGATGTGGGTTGGGGTCAGATGGGTGGGTTGCGGGGGGGGGGGGGGAGACAGGCATGTGGGGCTTGTACTCACTGCGCGGTTCCCTACTGGGTCCTTGGTGGCACTTAGGTGGCAGGTCCTTCACTTGGACCTGCCGCTGAAAATCTGGAGCGAGCGAAGACCCCCCTGCCGTCGAAGTGCCGTTGAGGACCTGGTAGGGAACCAGTTCTTAGGATTTTGGGAGCTCATCACTGGTTAAAGGTGTGAGTGTGGAGTGAAAGGTTCCTTTGCAGGTTGCAAGAGGCTGAAGAGGGAGGGAAAGAGAAGAGAACGGGTTAACTCGATGCTTCAGCTAGCTCAGTCCGAAGATAAGAGGCTGACTCCAGCCAAGGGCACTGCACACAACCGACTCTCGGCTACCTGCCAAGAAAGACGGGAGCCTAGATTCCAACCTGGAGCAGCCGTGAGAAAGGAAAACTAAGCTGAGCAGGACTGCAGAGATTGTAAAAACTAGAGAGACGGCGAAAGCCAGCGAGGGGGAAAACAAAGTCTCATGTCCCTGAAGCCGGTGTGTTTTGGGAAAGCTGAGGAAGCCGCAGAAAGCTGGTTTGGACTGGGACAAAGAGCACGGGGGACAGAGGTCCCTGAATGAAACGCCCCCTGAAGAACCCAGGACTTAAAACCCTCCCAGGAGCTGAAGCAAGTTGGAGATCAACAGCAGACCCTGGACGGCCTGTGCACAAGACAGAACTCTCGTCCACCCTTCCCCTCCTCTTCTTCTGACATTACACCCAGACTTGGCCAGCCTTGGGTCGTGCGTGTGTATGAAAGTGGGCTAGGGCTGGGGCACTAACGCCTTTTCTTTCTCTGAGTGACGTGGCAGCGTTCCCAGCACTCACTGTTATTTTATTAATAAAGCTTTGAAACTTAGACCCTTGGTGTGCTCCTTAATCTCCTCCCCTA